ATACAAAGTTAAGAGAGGTACAGACGGAATAGATCATGAAAATTTCTTCCCCATGGCAGACGGGTCAATGACCAAGGGCATACGTTTTAAAGTGAGGAGCAAGTGGTTTAGAGGAGATCAGAGAGAAAAAAAATTCACCCAGAAGGTGATAGGCACATGAAACATGCTGCCTGAGAGTGTGGTAGAGGCAAGTACTCTCACAGCATTTAAGAAGCATCTGGATGAGGACTTAAGATGCAAGGACCAGGTGTAGGTAAATATAATTAATGCAGTTTGATGTTTGTTGGTTGGCATAGACATGGTGGGCCTGTTTCTTTGTTGTATGACTCTGATTTGCTAATTGTCTCAGCATCAAGTTGTAACAAGACATTTCAGCAGGATTTTATCAGAATAGTGTCATTGGCACAATCATCTTCAATTGTTTCATCAATATCAAAAAGAATAAAAAATCAAAACAGAAGTATAGCGCAGGAGCAGGCCTTTTGGCCCTCCAAGCCTGTGCCAATCATCATGCTGTAACTAATTTAAAAAACAAATCTTCTGCCCTTATTTGGTCCATATCCCTCTATTCCTCCCTAAACATGTAACCATCCAGATGTCTCTTAAATGTCGCCAATGTGCCTGCTTACACCACCTCTTCTGGCAGTGCGTCCCAGGCTCCTACCACTCTCTGTGTGAAAAACTTCCCTCGCACATCTCCCTTAAACTTTCCCCCTCTCACCTTGAACTTGTGTCCCCTTGTAATTGAAACTTCAGCCCTGGGAAAATGCCACTGACTGTCCACCCTATCTATGCCTCTCATAATTTTGTAGACCTCTATCAGGTCTCCTTTCAGCTGCTGTCTTTCCAGTAAAAACAATCCTAGCCTTTCTAAACTTTCCTCATAGCCAATGCCCTCAAAACCAGGCAACATCTTGGTGTAGAGGTAGTAGGAACTGCAGATGCTGGAAAATCTGAGATAACAAGGTGTAGAGCTGGATGAACACAGCAGGAAGGCTGACATTTCGGGCCTAGACCCTTCATCAGAAATGGGGGAGGGGAAGGGGGTTCTGAAATAAATAGGGAGAGAGGGGGAGGCGGATAGAAGATGGATAGAGGAGAGGATAGGTGGAGAGGAAACAGGCAGGTCAAAGAGGCGGGGATGGAGCCAGTAAAGGTGAGTGTAGGTGGAGAGGTAGGGAGGGGATAGGTCAGTCCAGGGAGGACAGACGGGTCAAGGGGGCGGCATGAGGTTAGGAGGTAGGAAATGGGGGTGGGGCTTGAGGTAGGAGGAGGGGATAGGTGGGAGGAAGAACAGGTTAGGGAGGCGGGGACGAGCTGGGCTGGTTTTGGGATGCGGTAGGGGGAGGGGAGATTTTGAAGCTTGTGAAATCCACACTGATACCATTGGGCTGCAGGGTTCCCAAGCGGAATATGAGTTGCTGTTCCTGCAACCTTCAGGTGCCATCGTTGTGGCACTGCAGGAGGCCCAGGATGGACATGTCGTCCAAGGAATGGGAGGGGGAGTTGAAATGGTTCGCGACTAAAGAATCCCCCTCGTCCTCACGTACCACCCCACCAACCTCCGGATCCAATGCATCATCCTCCGACACTTCCGCCATCTGCAATCCGACCCCACTACCAAAGACATTTTTCCCTCCCTGCCCTTATCTGCTTTCTGGAGGGACCACTCTCTCCGTGACTCCCTTGTCCGCTCCACACTCCCCTCCAGCCCCACCACATCCGATACTTTTCCCTGCAACCGCACCTGGCCCCCACTTCCTCCCTCACCCCCATCCCAGGCCCCAAGAAGACTTTCCATGTCAAGCAGATGTTCATCTGCACATCTGCTAATGTGGTATACTGCATCCGCTGTACCCGTTGTGGCCTCCTCTACATTGGGGAAACCAAGCGGAGGCTTGGGGACTGCTTTGCAGAACACCTACGCTCGGTTCGCAATAAACAACTGCACCTCCCAGTCGCGAACCATTTCAACTCCCCCTCCCATTCCTCAGACGACATGTCCATCCTGGGCCTCCTGCAGTGCCACAACGATGCCACCCGAAGGTTGCAGGAACAGCAACTCATATTCCGCTTGGGAATCCTGCAGCCCAATGGTATCAGTGTGGATTTCACAAGCTTCAAAATCTCCCCTCCCCCTACCGCATCCCAAAACCAGCCCAGCTCGTCCCTGCCTCCCTAACCTGTCCTTCCTCCCACCTATCCCCTCCTCCCACCTCAAGCCGCACCCCCATTTCCTACCTACTAACCTCATGCCACCCCCTTGACCTGTCCGTCCTCCCTGGACTGACCTATCTCCTCCCTACCTCCCCACCTACACTCACCTTTACTTGCTCCATCCCCGCCTCTTTGACCTGTCTGTCTCCTCTCCGCCTATCTTCTCCTCTATCCATCTTCTATCCGCCTCCCCCTCTCTCCCTATTTATTTCAGAACCCCCTACCCCTCCCCCATTTCTGAAGAAGGGTCTAGGCCCGAAACGTCAGCCTTCCTGCTCCCATGATGCTGCTTAGCCTGCTGTGTTCATCCAGCTCTACACCTTGTTATCCCAACATCTTGGTGTACCTTCTCTGCAATCTGCACTCTCTCCAAAGCTTCCACGTCCAAAACGACCAAAACTACACACTGTATCCTTTCATCATAAAATCAGGAGTGGAGATGTTTATTGATGTTTGAAGCAATTCAAATTAGCCTTTATTGTCACATATACTCAATAAGTACAGTTAAAAATATAAACGTTGCCACTCACAGTGCCATCTTAGGTACAAAGGTACCTCGGTACGGCTTCTTTAGTTACAAGATCTTAGAAAATAGAGAAATAAAATGTCCAGCATTGCAGAAAAAGACAATTAGAACCATGGTTTTCCAACCCAGACCATGCTGGTACCTAGCCTCCAGACCCCACCAGGCTCTGGCTCCCTGCACCTTGAGGATCATGAGGCTGGGAGATTGCTTCAGACCGCCACGCAAGGCTGAGAGGACGCCTCACCAGTCGACCTCCCTGGGAGGCTGCTACAGTAGGCAGGGAGACCGCTATGCCAGGCCAGTAGATCGTCATGCCATGCCGGGAGGCCCATTTGCCAGGCTGGGAGGTTGCTACATCACGCCGGGAGGCCGCTATGGTTGGTCGCTGGGCCAGGCTGGGAGGTTGCCATGCCATGCTGGGAGGCTGCTGCACCAGACTGCAATATTGCCATGCCAAGCGGTGAGGCCGTGCTGCCTGGCCTGGAGGTTGCCAGGCCATGCCGGGAGGCTGCTGTGCCAGTTGTCGAAGGCTGGGAGGCAGGCCAGAGGCAGGGAGTCATCACTGAAGGCCAGGGGTCATTGGAGGCTGGGAGAGAAGAAGATAGAAAAACATTAAGAGGATATAAAAGTGAAGAAAAATAGAGGAAGAATGGGTGGAGTGGATGAGCTCCTGCTGGAGTGTCCTACTCCACCGCCATCATTCCCATATGCAGGAGATGTGAACAACATCCAAGTTTTACCTCTGAAGGGTCCCACCCGAAACGTCAGCTTTCCTGTTCCTCTGATGCTACTTGGCCTGCTGTTTACCTTCAGCTCCACACTTGGATATCTCTGACTCCAGCATCTGCCAGTTCTTGCTATCCAAGTTTTATTTCTTCTTTTATAGATCTTTGGCATTGCTGGCAAGACCAGCATTTATTGCCTTTGCCTAGCTGCCCTTTGGAAGGTGCTGGTGAGTTGCCTTCTTGAACCGCTTCTGTCCAAGTACTGTAATTGGATCCATAATGCCACCACTGTAGGAATTTCAGGATATTGATCCAACGATACTCAATGAATGATGTATATTTCCAAGTCAGGATGGTGAGTGGCTTGGAGGTGAACTTTCAGGCAGTACAGTTCCCATATATCTGCTGCCCTTGTCCTTCTAGATGGATAGTGATCATTAGTTTGGAAGGTGCTGTCTAAGGATTGAGTTATGCCAGACACACACTGTCATAAACCATCTCCAAAAAGTCAATCTAACCATTGCCACTTGACATTCAATAGCACTAACATCACTAAATGCCCCAGAATCAACTACTGCAGGGGAGTACTATTGACCAGAAATTGAACTGGACCAGCCATCTAAATAATGTAGTTACACAAATAGGTAGAAGATGGGAATTCTAAAGTGAGTAACCAACCTTCTTTCTACCCAACAGCTGCCCACCATCAACAAGGCACAGGCCAGAAGTGTGATGGGATACTCTCCATTAGCCTGGATAAATGCAACTCCAACAGCATTCAAGAAATGTGACACCATCCAGGACAAAGCAGCCCGCTTAATTGCCATCTCATCCACCACCTTCACCTCAAACTTCCTTTAACCACTGCCGGACAGTGCTAGCATTATATATCCCTGTGAGATGCAATGCAGTATCTCACCAAGGATCCTCTTGCAACATCTACCAAACCCATGACCTCTATCACCTAGAAACACAATGGCAGCAGACGTAGGTTAATACCACCAGACAATCCAGACATCATACTCCTATATTTGATCAATGTTAAACTATCTTTCTTATCAACTTTCTAGTCAACTGGTTCCATAGATACTATTCTAAAGTTGTGAAGACAGTTCGGAGAAGTTGGGTCTGTTTTCCTTGGAGAGTACAAAGCCAAGAGGAGATTTAATAAAAATATTCAAAATCATGACGTAGTTGGACAGATTAGACCGGGAGAAACAATTCCTTCTCAAAAAAGGATTGAGAATGAAATATACAAAAGAAAGGTATAATAAAAGAAACTATTGTTGTGTGAGCAAAAACTGTTGCACAGTGAATGGACTGCCTGGAAAAGTGGTGGCAGTAGGTTCAATAAAGCGTACAAGGTTACGGGTGAAAGGAAAGGGAATGGCACTGAGCCATGAGTTAATTTGAAGAATCATTATTGATACGATAGGGCGAATGGCCTACTTCTATGCATAACAGTTTTTTGATTCTGTCATCTAATATTTCTGTTTATGGTGACATGTTTTGTTATACATTGTGTTCTACAGGTTAGCTGCAGTGAATGGGCAGACATTTTAGCTCCTAAAGCTGGATATATTGAAATAACTGTGAACAAATTGGTGGATATATTTATTGAAATCTCTGAAACAATTAACGATGCCACAAAATCTGATATTGAACCTGGTAAGGAAAATGCCATTTCAAAGGCACTTATAACCTATGAGATTAGAGTAGTCAAACCGGAGGTATTTAGAATTAGAATTTAGAATTATTGTCATGCGTGCTAAAGTACAGAAGTACAGTGAAAAGTTTATAATGTCACCTCTCATGGTGTCATCTTAGGGACAAAGTACCTACGTACACATCTTAGATACAAAAAGAGGAGTAACAAAGAACATAAGTTGCATTACCGTACAGTGATTCTTGGTATAAGTTAGAAATAAGACATAGTGAAAAAGATAAATGTCACAGCCTGATAAGCAGATTACAGATAAACATTACATTGCAGTAGATCAGCTCAGGGGCTTCCACACGTGGTTTGACCGGCCTCGCAATCCGCTGACCGTGAGTGCCGGACCCCAGTCCAACAACAATCTCCACTCCACTCCCTGCCTTCAGCCTGCTGCACACCTGCTCTCAGCCGCTCCGCTCACTCCAGGCTACCAGCCTACTCCACTTGGGCCCTCAGGCATTCTGCGCTGCTCCAGGTCTCCAGCCCACTGCGCTCCAGCTCTCATCTACTCAACACCGCTTCAGGCTTTCAGCCTGCTCCGCTTGGCTGTCAGCTGCTCCAGGCCATCAGCCTGCTCCACTCTGGCTCTCAGCCATTCTGCACCTCTCCAGGTCTCCAGCCCACTCTGCTCAGGCTCTCAGCCACTCCAGGCCTTTAGCCCACTCTGCTCCAGCTCTCAGTTGCTCCACTCCACTCTGGGCTCTCAGCTGCTCCAAGGTAAGTTTTCTTATTAAAAAAAAGACTTTAAAATCTTAGAAAAAAAGTGGGAAGGAAAGAAAAAAGTAAAAAAGAGAAAAAAAGCAGATAGATGAACAAGTCCTAGGCTGAGGAGTCCAAACGCTGCCTACCCTGCCTTTGCCATCTTGGAAGCCACAATCGTCGTTATCATTCAAGATATGTTGACTTAAGATATATTTCTAGCCATCTTAAAGAATTGTCAATATAGTGCATAAATATTGAAAACTCTGCTGATATTAATTGAAATAGTTAGAGAAATTAATAATTAACAGGGACATGATTTGATTCTGTCTTAGAAATTTGTTGTCATTTACCAAAGCCTGATTAATGTTTGAGACACGCTCCTGTGCCTGTCCATTTTTGAAAGCAATTGAGAACTAGCAACCCACAATGCAGCCAATTGAATTCCAGTTGAGCTAAGATTACTGCAGAAAATAAATATTCATGGTGTAGGGGCAACATTTTTGTATGAGTAAAAGATTGGTGAGCTAACAGGCATAGGTCATTTTCTGGTTAGCAAGATTGACAAATGGCATGGCACATGGACTGGTGCTTTATCTCAACTGCTTATAATTTATACAAATGACTTGGATGTTTGTACTAAAATTGAGGTTTCCAAATTTACTGATGACACAGGCATGAAACTTCCTTTTTATGCCCAGTCAGTTACAAGCCTATATAATCACTCATCCTGTGAAATGTATGGCTTAATCTGAATTTATTTGTATGGATTACCTCACTCAATAACATGCTTTTTCAGAAATTATTGCTCATTTTTAATTGGTGGGCCCAATTACTTGGGCACAATTGCTTCTACTAACAAATCAAATTAACTTAAATTACCCACCCTTTCAGACAAAATGTGTCTCTATATTTTGCCAATTGTAACAAAGTCACAACACAAATTGTCAAAAATTTGTAGAAATGACAGCACGTAACAATGCCATTTGGCCTATTGTGCCTGTGCTGGCCCATTGAAAGATCTATCCAATAAGACTCTCTTTTGCTACTCATTCCCTATCACCCTGTAATTTATTATTGAATTTGCTTCCACTGCTTTTTCAGGCAGCGTGTTCCAGATCAAACAAAAAATCACTCAGACAGTATAAGTTCCCTGGGGTTGTTAATTTGATCCAGTCAGGGAGCCGTGGCTGACGTATAAAATCTGGAATTAAGAGTCTAATGGTAACCATGAACCAATTGTTGATTGTGGGAAAAACCCATCTGATTCATTAATATCCTTTAGGGAAGGAAAATGCCATCCTTACCTGGTTGGGCTTACATGTGACTCCAGACCCACAGCAATATGGTTGACTCTCAACTGCCCTCTGGGCAATTAGGGATGGGCAATAAATGCTGCCTGATCAGCAATGCCCTCATCCCGTTAAAAAATAAAGAAAAAAAAAATTAGGCAGGAGCTAGGGAGAGTTAATTGGGAGGAGTTGTTATCAGGCAAGTCCACATTTAACATGTGGGAATTGTTTAAAGACCTGCTGATGACAGTTCAAGACTGGCATGTTCCACTAAAGAAGAAGGACAAGAATGGCAAGGTAAGGGACCCTTGGATGACAAGAGAGGTTGTGAATTTAGTCAAAAGGAAAAAAGAAGCATATGTAAAGTTTAGGAAGCTAAAATAAGACAGGGCCTGTGAGGAATATAACAAAAGCAGGAAAGAACTCAAGCGGGGAATTAAAAGAGCAAGAATAGGCCATGAAATGACCTTGGCAAGTAGGGTTAAAGAGAATCCCAAGGCATTCTATATACACAACTGTGCTATACAGTTCTATGTTCTGAGGAAGGGTCACCGGACCCAAAATGTTAACTCTGCTTTTTCCTGTTCAAGAGGGGTGGGTTGCACCTGAACTGGAGGGGGGCCAATACCCTGGCAGCCAGATTTGCTCATGCTGCAAGGGAGAGTTTAAACTAAATTGGCAGAGAGATGGGATCCTCAACAGCAGGGAGGCAAGTGCAAGGCTGGAAGGAGATACAGTAATCAGAAATAGCAAGTTGAAGACACAGGTCAGGCTGGAACATGACAGAGAACGAGGAATGCCTGTTGGATTAAATTGCATCTATTTCAATATAAGAGGGCTGACAGGTAAGGCCGATGAACTCAGGATGTGGAAGGGTACATGGGACTGGGATATTATAGCAATAACAGAAACATGGCTAAGGGAGGGACAGAATTGGCAGCTTAATGTGCCAGGGTACAGGTGTTTTAGGCAAGACAGAGGTGGAGGAAAGAGGGAAGGGGGAGTTGCATTTTTGATTGAGGGGAGTATCACAGCAGTAGTCCGAGATGGAGTAACTGAGGGATCATCCAGTGAGGCTTTGTGGATGCAGCTAAGAAATAAGAAGGGGATGGTGATGTTATTGGGGTTGTACTATAGGCCGCCAAAGAGACGACCGGAATTAGAGGAACAAATATGTAGGGAGATTGCGGAGACTTGCAGGAGCAATAGGGTTGTCACAGTAGGGGGATTTTAAATTTCCTAACATAACACTATGGCAGTCCCAGTCTAAGGGCTTAGATGGGTGGTATTTGTTAAATGTGTTCCAGAAAGTTTCCTCAAGCAGTTCGTAGAGGGTCCTACTCAGGAAGGGGCAAAACTCGACCTACTCTTGGGAAATAGGGCAGGACAGGTGACTGAGGTGACAGTGGGGGAGCACTTTGGGACCAGTCACCATAGTTGTATTCATTTTAAAATAGTTATGGAGAAGGACAAAACTGGTCCACAGGTTCACGTTCTAAACTGTGGCAAGGCTAATTTTGATGGAATTAGACAGGACCTTGCAGGGATTGATTGGAGTAGTCGTTTGCAGGCAAAGGGACCTCTAGCAAGTGGAAGGCTCTTAAAAGTGTGGTAGCTAGAGTTCAAGGTCTATATGTTCCTGTGAGGGTGAAGGGCAAGGTTGGCAGGAGTAGGGAACCCTGGATGACAAGAGATATTGAGGCTTTGACCAGAAAAAAGGAGGAGGCATGGCTCAGATACAGGCAGCTGGGATCAAGGAAATCCCTGGAGGGATGTAGGGGATGCAGGAGTTTACTGCAGAAGGAAATCAGGAAGGCGAAAAGGAGGCACGAGATAGCGTTGGCTGAGAAGGTCAGGGTGAATCCAAAGAGATTCTTCATGAAATGTATTAAAGGAAAAAGAATAACTAGAGAGAGAATAGGATCCGTCAAGGACCAAAGTAGCTATGTATACAGGAGATGGGCAAGGTCCTCAATGAATATTTCTCCTCTGTGTTTACTGTGGAGAAAGACATGAAGAATTGGGAACGTGGGAAAGTTAGTAGCGATATCTTGGGGACAATCCATATCACAGCAGAGGATGTGTTAGAACTATTAGAATGTATGAAGGTAGATAAATCTCCTGGTCCTGACCAGATATATCCAAGAACCCTGCAAGAGCCGAGAGAAGAAATTGCAGGGGCCTTGGCTGATATATTTGCATCATCGTTAGCCACGGGTGAGGTCCTGGAAGACTGGAGGGTAGCAAATGTTGTGCCCTTATCCAAGAAGGGCATTATAATACCTGGGAATTATACAGAGAAGATATACATGCATTTGGAAAGACAGGGTTTGATTAGGAATAGTCAGCATGGCTTCATGTGTGGGAGGTCATATCTCACAAATTTGTTAGATTTCTTTGATGAAGTGACCAGGAAGGTTGATGGGGGCAGGACAGTAGACGTTGTCTAAATGGATTCAAATGGATTGTCTAAATAGATTCCACATGGTAGGCTGCTCTGAAAGATTAGATGGCATGGAATCCAGGCAGAGCCGGCAAATTGGATACAGATAGTAAAAGTGGAAGGACGCTTGTCAGATTGGAGGTCTGTCACTAGTGGTATGCCTCAGAGGTCGGTGCTGTGCCCATTGCTGTTTGTTACCTGTATCAATGATTTGGATGAAAATATGCAAGGCATGATTAGTAAGTTTGTGGATGACACTAAAATAGGTGGTATTGTGGACAGTGAGGAAGGTTATCAGAAATTGTAGTAGGATTTTGATCAGCTGGGGAAGTGAGCTGAGAAACGGCAAATGGAGTTTAATATAGGTAAGTGTGAGGTGTTACATTTTGGAAAGTCAAATCAAGGTAGGAATTTCATGGTGAAGGTAAGGCCTTAAGGAGTGTAGCGGAACAGAGGGACCTTGGAATTTAGGTGCACGGTTTTCTGAAAGTGGAGTCACAGGTAGACAGTGCAGTGAAGAAGGTGTTTGGCACTCTGGCCTTCATCAGTCAGGGCTTTGAATATAGAAGTTGGGAAGCTATGTTGCAGTTGTACAGGGTGTTGGTGAGGCCGCACTTGGAGTATTGTGTTCAGTTTTGGTCATCTTGCTATAGGAAGTTTGTTATTAAACTAGAAAGAATGCAGAAGAAATTTACGAGGATGTTGCCAGGACTCCAGGTACTGAGTTATAGGGACAGGTTGGACAAGCTAGGACGTTTTTCTCTGGAGCATAGGTCACCTAGGGGGGATCTTATAGAAGTGTATAAGATCATGAGAGGTATGGATAGGGTGAATGCACTAAGTCTTTTTCCCAGGGTTGGGGAATCGAGGACTAGAGGGCATCAGTTTAAGGTAAGAGGGGAAAGAATAAATGGGAACCTGAGGGGCAACTTTTTTACGCAGAGGGTGGTACACACATTAACAACATTTAAAAGGCACTTTGGCAAATAAATGGATTGGAAAGCTTTAGAAAGATATGGGGCAAGTGCAGGGAAATTGGGTTAGCATGAATGGACATTCTAGTCAGCATGGACCAATTTGGGCCGAAGGGCTTGGCTCCGTGCTGTAGGATTCTATGACTTCTGTGATACTCCTACAGAGTCCCACAGAGCAGAATACAACTCGGCCGTTAGTACCATCAGTTCCGCGAGTTTTATTCTTTCCGAAGGACTCGAGGGCCTTGGTGAGTTCATCCAGAGAAAGTGGCTGGTCCAGCCTCTCCCACTTGCTATTGTCTAAGACCT